TAAAAAATAAGAATAAGCAAGGAGGAATATAAGGTAACACAGAAGAGCAGTGCTACTGAGGAAAACTGACTAGAACTTATGCAGCTTCTACTGTTTTAATTATTATTTCTGTTATTAGTCTATGATTAATCCCAAAATGTGTCTAAATGTGTCCATTGTGCAAAAATAAAAAAAATAAATAAACTATCACCTTATTCTTAAACTTTTCATGTCTCAAATTTGCAAAGGAGGTGATTTTTTTTTAACTCCAGAGGCCTATGTGTACATCCCATCAATGCTGACAAAATAAAAATGTAACAAGACTGCCAGACTGCTGTGAAGTACAAAAGGAGCATCCAGCAAAGAAGAAAAGGTGCAGTGGCCCAGGAACAAGATGATAAATATAAAGCGATGACAAAGGAATGCAGAGGATGGCTAAGGAAGGCACCGGTAGTCTGAAAACACCAAGGAAGGAGAGAGTGATACTAACAAGTTCAAAAGAGGTGACGGAGATTTGTCATTTGAGACCTTGAATACACCAACATGTCTCACTGTCCAACCCAGCCAGTCACAGACCATGTAAGAACTCTGACTGCAACAATTCAATAAATCAAATTATTTCTTGCATCTGGATATTTATAGACAGAGAATAAACTAACTGATACAACCAACAATGGCAAATTGGCTATTAACAGAAAGATTATCTGGAAATAGTAAAAAGAATATTAACATCTTAAACAAGCCCCAGAAATGTATGTCTAAACACATCAATCTAGGATATTCTATATCAAATTTACATTGCTTTTCAGACATAAGTTAATGAAATAAAGTTAATAAACATTTATTGAATGCCTACTAGAGGGCGGGCATTGCTTTAAGTGTTTAAGCTATTGTCAAGGAAGTTCCATTCTAGTGAGAGAAATTATCTGGGCAATTATCTGGGATGGTGAAGTGCATCTCCCAATAAAGCACTATATTGTAACATTTCTGAAATGACTATGTCATCTGTAGCACCAGCAAAGACTAAAACTGAAAAATGATTCTCTGAGCTTCACTGCCTAGAATATATATGTAGTTCAAGAGTTTTTAAGGATTAAACATTCAAAGTTTCCGTCAAGTATGTCTTTAATTGAAGCCTGAACTAATAACACATCCCTTTAAAATACTTCTTAGATGTTGCATTACCAGTATTTAATGTACATTAATAATATACTGTATGTCAGTTTCTGAAACACTAGACCTTAAGCTATTAGGGCAGAAATGTTTTTTCCCTTTATTTCTTCTTTGTGAATTTAGAACTCATGCAGTGTTTAGAATAAAGCACAATCTTGAATTACAAAATTTATCATAAAACAATTTAAATTTAATAGTATTAAAGAACTGCTTCTAACCTTTACTGAGAAAATGGTTGTCTTCTTGTTCAAGCACTTAAGTTATATTTTAGAATGTTTTAATTAAATATGTATAAATGTTAGTGTTGTACTTAAAAACTTTTAAGTATTGCTTAAGCAGGATAGCAGAGCCCCCAAGTTTAAAAAGATCCATCCAAGTTAGATTATTTAAACTTGCAATAAATAGATGTATTTTCTTGGAAAAATATCTATTGTTACAGTAAAACTTGAGTTTCCTTTCTAACAAGATTGTATGATTACTCGTTTATATTGTCCTTTCCGCAGGAATTCACACACCCCCTGTTTGCATCCTGTTATTCACTTGGAGCTTCCCTTAACTTCACTAGACTGTTTCCCTAATAGTGGTTTTAGCACACAGAAATCCTACTGACTGCCAACAGTTTGCATTTAGTATGCCTTCAGACCTAAGGATTACCTTAAAATTTTACCCTGTGTTCTTTCAAAAAAATTGCATTGCCATCCTAGACCACTGGACACAATTTTGGGATTATTTTTTTTTTTTTTTTTTTTTTTACTGATTTTTTTCCCCCTTACATTCCATCTACTCTGTTCTTGTATTTGGCACAACCTAAGAAACTGTTTAGTGTAGGCTTGCTACTGAAACTCAAGCAAATATATTTGTTGTCTTCCTCAAAATTTGTACATTTGGATTTCTCTTTCTGAAGGTAAACAATATTTTAAAAAGTTAATTCAGTGTTTTATCAAGGCCATATTAAATCACTGCCTCAGATTCATCTAGGCAGCTTATTAAAAACTAGAGTCCTGGTGCACAAAATTCGTGCACTGGGAGGAGATGTGTGTGCTCAGCCTGGTCTGTGCCCTCTTGCAGTCCAGGAGTCTTTGGGGGATGTCTGACTGCTGGGGAGCAGGCCTAAGCCAGCAGTTAGACATCCTTAGCGTTGCCGTGGAGATGGTAGGGGCTCCCACCACCGCTGCTGCGCTTGCCAGCCATCAGCCTGGCTTCTGTCTGAGTGGCGCTACCCCTGTGGGAGCACACTGATCACCGGGGTGGGGGGTGGGGGGGTAGCTCCTGAATTAAGCGTCTGCCCCCTGGTAGTCAGTGTATATCACAGCGAGCGACTGAACATCCTTAGCATATCGTTAGCATATAATACTCTGATTGGTTGAATGGACGACTAGACAGCATATTAGGCTTTTATTATATAGGATACAGATTCCTGATTTCAACATAGAACTTATGTAGAATCAGCATAAAAGGGGCATGCCCTAGAATGTGCATTTTTAATAAGCTCTTCAGGCTATTCTGAAGCACAATAAAAACCAGTAATACAAAGGACCTACAATTCAAGATAATATAACTGATTAAGAAATGATGCAAATAGGGGAATAAGAAACTACTACCAAATGCACTGAAGCAGAACAAAAATAAAGTCATCCTTTGTAACAACTAAAAACTCCATAATGAGCCTGCTAAACTATGACATTCTTTGGAAACTCCTTAAATTGAGGTACTGAACATAACACATATCTAATCATGAAAAAAAATATGTATGTAAATGTATACATTAAATATACATATATATTAATGTGTGTATATGTGTATGTGCATGCACACACAGCCCAGAAAGCAGGAATTATGTAAGTATTAAATAGCACACTAGCTACACATCCACTAAGCAGCTCCTGTTCTGCTCCACTACTTCTAAACGGGGAAAAACTTGTACACTTTTTTTCTCTCTCTCTGTAATATCTAGTTTGATTTCTCATTGTAGAGCAGCAGGAAATGAAAAGGCAAAATGACTCACATCAATAAATCTTTATCAGAGTCAAGGAATACTAATGCCTTCCTGGCTTCCAGACTGTTCACTAACTCTCTAACTCATAGTGCAGACAGAGACCACACCTTACATGTCATGGAACCCGACCATAAGGCCAAGCAATAAGCACAGCAAGTGAAGAAATGCTGGGGATCAAGACAGCATTCCAGGAAGCTGGGAATGGCCTTGGGGTACAGTCAACCACAGGGGCTCCCAAACTGCCACATGCAACATCTAGCCCCACCACCAGAATGTATGATGCCCTAGGTCTATGGTGGGGCCCAAATCTGACACTGCTCAGAGTTCCCAGGTGATGCGAATCTGCTTGTGTGCAGATTACACTTGGAGCACTATGGGTCTAGGGGAAATCCCCATGTTTTTACCATGTAAATGGTTCCCGTTAAAGAGAAGTAACTGAGACATGGTCAGGAAAAACAACATAGGGAATCTGGAAACTTGGGTTCTAGTTACAACTCTCCCATAAAATGGCTATACAGCTGATACCCACACACAACATATACCAATGACTATCACATAACTCATCTAGAAGATGAAGGGTCTGATACAGATGAAAACAGAAAATTCAAAGACTTTTTATATAGATCAGAGAAAATTTAAATGTCTACTTTGAACCCTTGAAATTATTAGCTTCAAACCCATGTTTATTGCCTTGGTCACAACCATTAAACCATATAGCTTTTATCCAAAATAAAAAAACAAATAGCAACAACACAAGATAAAAAAGATGCTCAGATTGAACACATCAAACCATCTAAATATAAACCTAAAAGGAAATAACTGTTGTTGCAATATTCTAAACACAAATTAAAAATTCAAGTATCTGCACATGTGTCCAGGGCAGCAGTGTCAGCCCCATCTGAGAGCATGTTAGAAATGCAAAGTCTCTGGGCATACTTCAGCCTCCTGCATAAAGACCTTCCTCTTTTAAGATCCTAAGTGATTTGTAAGTACACTGCAGTGTGAACGCACTGACAGGCCACTGAGATTTTATTAATCCTTTACTGTTTGTGAAATAACATTATACATATAAAACACTGAACATTTTCTGAAAAAAAATCTATTTCTGACATATGAAGAGATAAAACGAAATCAATAAATGGTTTAACATGAAAAGACTCATTGAAACATTTCAAACAAAAACTTCCATTTTGCATGTTTCATGAAGAGAAAATACTATAAGATTAAAAGGTAACTAATATCAACTAGCTCCAATCCCTAACTTTGCAGCTGCGTATAGTGAGGTAGGGAGCTGCTAACTAGTTTGACTGAATGGAGACTGATGTCCAATTCTATTAACTCCTATAATGAAATGCCTTTTTCAGTGGAAAAAAAAAACACTTTTAATTACATGTTCCTAGTTGAACATAAAGTTAATATAAAGCAGAAGTATACATAATTTTGAAAGGATAAATGAAATGATCCATCTATAAAAACATACTGAAGGAAATCCATAATAGTTATTATGTGTTTTATCTTTCCATTAAAAAAAAAAAAGATAAGGAGACTTCCAAAAAGCAAATTGGAAAAAGAAGTGGAACTGGAAACTGACATACTTAATATGAGCATAAGCTCCAAATCCATAATTATCAAAGAATGACACCACATTATCATTTAATGGCAGCATCTGTTTAATAAATCTGGAAAACTGACTTTTGGAAATATGAGAAATTTGGCTTTGCTATAATACTTAACTTTTACCATACAGCAATAAACAAAACTTTTTCACATATGCAGTTTCAACACAGAGCAGCCAAATTCAACGTAAGCATTTTATAAGCGACTATAGAAAAATTAAACCCTTTTGTCTTACCATCAAAGAAGCTCTTGGCTCTTAGGTAACTGACACTGAGCCTAAGCACGGAAAGTTTGTCCAGCTTATTAATAACATCTTGTGGAAAAGGCAGCAGGTTCGCCAAACGGTCCAACTCTGTATTGAGTCGGTCTCTATGTCGCTTGGAAGGATTTGACTTGATTCCTTCAGCTGGGATTGGCTTGATGCTGAAAAACAAACAAAATGTCATGAAATACTCAAAAATATATAAAGCAAAATTTTCTATTGCCTTATAGCATCTTCTCAAATATTTCTCTCATAAAACTTTCAGTTGACATAAATCCTTTCAAAATTATCCTTTTTAAAGTCTTAAGCAAAACAAGGGAATGGGTAAAATCCTTCATAATGTTTTTATTAAAAAGCTCATGAATCCATGATAGGACTAAGTATATCGTATATACTTCATATAATTCATACATTTGTGGTACAGTGATTTCCAACTAACAAATCTACTAGGATTTTATTCCCTTTAAACACAACCATTGTTAGGGAAAAGGGGAGAAAAAATCTGTAATAAATTATGTAAAAGTCATGCTTCACAATCTTCTGGAAACATTTTTGCATCATTTATGTTTGTAGATAAAGAAGAGCAACCCTAAATAAAAAGCTTATATTCATCACCCCAGCTTCCTATATTTAACAATTTCCTCCTGTTAGTGGCAACTTCTCAAAACTCTGACACCTCCAGATAGTCCTAATGCCATCTAATGTGTCTTCCAGTATTAAAATAAGAAAACAATTGACTTTAGATATTTACATTTGTTGAATGACAAATATTGGAAGTTAACTGTGATTACCGGCAAATCTTGCTTTTATGACTGGTCAGTAATTCTACTTTATTAGCATCCATAATTTATGCCCCAATGAGAAAATTCAATGACATCCCAACATTTAGTTATGAATTTTTATCATAGAAAAAAGAAACTATGATTACAAATAGACCTTGAGTTTAGAAATGAGAATCTGGACTACTTTACATCAAGGCCTTACTCAGAAATTCACTATGAAAAGAGGATTTACAGATCCTTAGATACTCATGCTGAAATAGAGAGAAGCTATTAAAAAACCAAACAAAGTAATTTTAAGATCATGTCTGCACCTTTTCATTTGACAGAAAATAAAGAATTATCTTGAGTGTTCTTATAACAAACACCTTTTTTCCAGTGTTATTCAGAAAACAAAAACATTTTTTACAGTTCAAATGATAGTACAGTTAAAAAGCAGAAACTGACTAGAATATAGTGTTATTTGATGCAATAAAAACATTTATAGATAATTTATTCTCATTGTTATATATGAACTAGTAATAGTTTATGCAAAAGATTAAAAATACAAAATTTTAACATTTTTACATTGTCCCTAACATGTCATTTCTTCAGAACTTGCCTATTTCTATTTTTTCTAATACAGTTCAAATTATTTTTACAAAAAAGATTATCTGGTAAAATGGTATACATACAAGTCAGTAGAACTACCTCCAGACTGTATGTGTAACTGCATAATTAAATGTGACTGTTCATGTATTTTCCCTTAATCATACTGCATGTATAATCAAACTGAAATCATACCTAGTTACTACATTTCTCCAATTAATCAACTGAATTTCAGTCTTTGCCTACAATGCATGTGTACCTTCTTGAGTAATTCTCTATGGATCAATCACTTGTTATTTATTTGTACCTGTCATGTCCTTGGTAGGTCAGAAAAACTCTCTTCTACATATTCCAAAAGTGTTATGGTAGCTAAGTATCAGGAACAATTACCAGAAAAGATATCTTTTACAGAAAAAGTAGTATATAAGATGGATCTTGAAAAACGAGCCGGATTTCAGAGGCGACAGTACTGGGGAAGGGTGAGCTTTGAGAAGTCCCCTGTCTGAAGTGTGAAGCAGAGAGCGAGAGCGAGAGCGAGAGCGAGAGCGAGAGCGAGAGCGAGAGCGAGAGCGAGAGCGAGAGCGAGAGCGAGAGCGAGAGCGAGAGCGAGAGCGAGAGAGAGAGAGAGAGAGAGAGAGAGAGAGAGGGGTGGGGGGAGGGTAAGCTTGTTGCGGTTCCTGATGAAGTGGGGTTCTCTTCCCTGCTGGGTGCTGCAGGAGGTGGAGTTCTTAACAATAGCCCCAGAGAATGAATTTTCTGAGGCCTGCACGGGAAAACGAGTGATTTTTATTTGTGTGGAATTAAATCCCTGCATTTCTAAAGTCCCATTTCCCTTCGGACGCGCAGGGGGGGTTTCAGTAAAGCTAGGAGCAAAGCCAGTGTCCAGAGTTTCCCTTCCATGGAGGAGCCGGGTCCTACAGCATCAGGCTAATGCCAGCCCATTAGTCTGCTGTGTGTGCGAATGCAGGGAAGCAGGAGCAAAAGAGCCCCACAAGCCCAGAATCACAGGAGTCCCAACAAAGCCAAGTGCATACGAGGTCAAACTCCTCTGTTTAGGAGATTATGTACCTCAAATCGCCCTTACAGTGGTCACACCCATTTTGGCCCATGATCTCTGTGCCCAGGTATGACTGTCGAAAGCACCTCCTTTAGTCCCCCAACTTTTCTGGGCATGCACCTATCTTCCCTTTGTCCACACCCCTGGCCCCAATGTTCTGTAGGGAACATGCCTATAAAGTCTGGCCTTCCCCCTCTTCCCTTCCTGTTATCAGTATCAGTTGGGGCCACAATCTTTCAACAAATATTGACCACCCCTCACGTGGGGCAAACACAACACTCAGCATGAACAAAACCCACTAAAGCTGCTGTTCCCATGAAGCTTACATCCCAGTGGGAGGACACATACATAAACATATAACTTTTCGGGCTGTCAGTGTTAAGAAGAAAAATGAAACAAGGAAAGGAAGTAAGGAGTGACAGGGTGCTGGTTTGGACAGCTAGTGATGTTTCAGCACAGACACGCAGACAACAAAGGATGAGCTATGTGGGTGTCTGATGAAAAAAAAAAAAAAAAAAGTTCAAGGTAGAGGACTCAGCAACTCTCCTCACAGAAATGGCAACCAAACTGGACTTTGGCATCTGGAGTCATCTTGAGCTTTCAGCTAGGATTGGCATGCCAAGTCTAGTATTTTTATTTTACTAAGCTGACTGGCTGGCGACAGTGAGCACAGAATGCACTGCAGACCCCTCTGAGCACTTCTTTCTAAAACGTAACTCCAGGTCATTCCTCTTATTTAACCCTTTCAGTAGCTCCACACAGTCCACATTCCTCAGCCCAACAAAGTGCTTCTTGATCTTCCTATAGCCCCTAACTATTCCTCTGGCCCCACTGTTTCCAGCTAAAGCCTTCTTTGTCCATTATATGCCAGCGCTAAGAAATGGCTTGCAGTTGCCAGGATGCACTTGGGTGCTTTCAAAGTGCTACTCCACTGCTGTGCCACCAGCTTCAAAGCGCTGCTCAATTAGATCACCTTTGTGAGGTCTTCCCCTACCTACTCACAACGGATTCCTCCTGTATTACTCCAGTACCTTATGCACCTCTGTAAATATCTTACACAACCATTCCATTAAGGAATAGTCAGTGCAGATAACATTTCCCATAAATTAAAAATCAAATCCAGCCCTGCACTCTTGGTAGCTGTCCAGTAGAGATTATGAAACACTGGGGAGAAAAGAGTAACACAAACACTGAAGCAAGACAAGACAATCCAATATGACACAGGGACAAACTTCAACAGTACAAGAGAGACTTAGAGGTAATCTTCCAAGTAGTGCTGCTGCCTACTTTGTGCTGGAACTAGATGAGACTGATTCTTTATACAATGCAAACTTGCCCACAGCTCTAATGTGGTAGTATGCACGTGATGGAATATTTACCATGAGTTCTCATTTCCTAAATAAAGCTTTCTGTAACCTATATTGCATATACTTGTTTGTTGCTCTTACTATGGAAAATTAACCATTTCTGTAACCCCAATGCTCAGCATAGTACCTGGCACAGAGTGGACTCTCAATTAATGTTTGCTGATCAGAAATGTGCAGAAAAGAAATGACAGGAGCCTGACTGAAGGCAGTAATAGTAAGGATAGTAAGGATAGTAAAGATAGATGGCCTTGAGATATTTAAGCACATCACTTTGTGTCTATCAAAAAGCTGGGTACATAATCACACTCAGATGTTCACTGAATTAAACTCACTTGCTGACCAATCCTATCTAATAAAAGAGTAATATGTAAATTGACTGTCATTCTAATACACAAGATGGCTGTCCCCATGTGGACACAAGATGGCCTCCACAAGATGGCCAGCAGGGGAGGGTTGTTGGAAGGGACCAAGCCTGCAAGGAGGGCAGTTGGGGGCGATCAGGCTAGCAGGGGAAGGCAGTTGAAGGAACCAGGCCTATAAGGGAGGGCAGTTGGGGGGCGATCAAGCCTGCAGGGGAGGGCAGTTAGGGGTGACCAGGCCTTTAGGGGAGGGCAGTTAGGGGCAATCAGGCTGGCAGGGGAACAGTTAGGCATCAATCAGGCTGGCAGGGTAGTGGTTAGGGGGTGATCAGGCTGGCAGACAGAAGCAGTTAGGGGCAATCAGGAAAGTGGGCAGGCAAGCAATTGGGAGCCAGCAGTCCTAAATTGAGAGGGATGTCCGACTGCCCATTTAGGCAGGATCCTGCCTAAACGGGCATTTAGACATCCCTTGAAGGGTCCCAGATGGAGAGGGTACAGGCTGGACTGAGGGACACATACCCCCGTGCATGAATTTTGTGCACAGGGCCTCTGTTTAAGTATAGGAGGTAAGAGAGAGGAAAACCCTGAGTTAGGGAAAGACTGCAAATGACTAAAGTCTGTAGCTTAGGATAACAACTGTATTTCCCAATGTAAAATATATCAAACAATGAGAAGAGAGATTTGAGCACACACCTCAGTAATAACAACATTTAGGTGTAAGGTTGAGGAAGAGATTCAGGCAAAGATAGAGGAGGAGGAATGATGAGATGAAAAGGAACAGGGTAGACTATTTTGGAGACTACAGAACAAGGTTAAATGCACAGAGGAATTAAGTTAAAGACTGAAAAATACCCACTGGACTTGGCATCTCCAATCCAATGTTGTTAAAGCTAAAGTAATAGCTTTAACATACTTTTCCACTGATTCTGTGAGAAATATTGTGTGAAAATATTTCATACTTATCCATAATACTGAAAATGTACAGAAGAAAAAAAATATATATTTTTTAAT